ATATAACAGTGTAGCACAGCGGTAGTGACCCGACTAGTTTCGACTGGCCCGCTAACCAGTCATCATCAGGGGTCTAGTAGTCGTCGTCGTCGCAAGTGTAACGATGAACTGACGATGTGCGTATTAATACTAGTCAGAATGAGTCAAGGCCCAGCAGGAACGTCTTCTAGAAACCACCGTCGCTTTGTAGATAGTTCGCATGAACAAAAACACAGGCTCAAGTAAGGGTCTAACATAGTAGGTGAAACTGACCCACAATCGTACCAGATTCAGCAGGCAAAAAAGAACAAGTCAGAACGCCGCCCAGAAATCTAAAAATATCGATCGAAAGGTTCCGAGTTTGAGACTTAATCTCCACGTTACTGCAGGTCTCCTAATGGAAGAAAAGAGAAGTGCACAGTTCCAGTCCTAGCGAAGGATTAACGTACCTGAGCCAAGAGGTAACGAAAGACAGCATAGACCCCCTAAGTCGTAAAAACCGCCAGGTCCCAGGTTCAATACCCTGAAAAAGACACTCAGCTAGGCTAAATCAAGCAGCATTACCACAAAGTAGTCCCATAGTGGAAAACTACAGTATCCAATCGGTCAACACATATGCCAGTCCACTAGTCCCATACTGTAACTCTATCCTATCTATAGATCATCGAAACCATGTCATCTTTTTTTTTGTTTTTGTTTTTCTCAGTGAATCCTATGCTGGAAACCGGGTCCAGCGTCCCACTCTTACTGACTTTGACAGTCCAATAACATGTACCTAAACCATTCTACAAATTTTGAATGAAGAGTACTACTAGCCATGGGGAAGCCTCTTCAGTCAGAATTCTGACTGCCTGATGAAAAAATTCAACCTAGCTTCCTACAACCCTGTCTAGTCGTCATCCTATGTCATGTCCTCCCCTCCTCCAAACCACTCAAGATCCACCATTGCTAACGGAGCAGGAGGGAAGGGATCAGCAAATAGTTCAGGCGCTCTCAAAAAAGCCCCTGGTTGAAAGTCAAACCAATTCTGAAAGTTAATCTGGTAATCTTGTTTGATCCTCCCCTGTTCCTCTTTCTCTCCTGGCCATATTATTTCTCCCACTTTCTCCCCTGCTGCTTCCCCAAGCCATTCCGATTGAAACTTTCGTATTCCTTGTTTTATGTCTTCTTTTTGCTTGAATTCTTTAAGCTTTGTTTTCTTTTTCTCCCACTGGCCTCTTAGTTCTGTTTGTACAAAGCTTCTTATTATTTCTGAAACCTCTTCACTTTCTATCTTGACTTCTTCCATTTCATTAATACATAGTTTGTGCCACAAAGCCCACAATTTCGCTTTCCTCCCTAGATGAAAGAAGTTGTGTTGAAAATCCGATAATTCTATTAATTGAGAGTTCCAATATCCTAATAAGATCGCTTTCCAATCTCGGGGCCAATCCAGACCAGTAATTCTTCGCCACACATAATCCCATTGTCTCCATAACAAGACCGCCCTTGGGCATTGCAAAAAGATATGTTCAATTGTTTCCCTAATTTTCCTCTTAGGGAAGGCTCTCACACAAGATTTACACCATGGCAATGCCACCCCTTTTTGCTCTAATGTGGAATGATCTATTAACCAGTCATTAGTTGGTAGATATCTGTGTACTATCTGCCATTGCAAGGATGCAAACTTGGCAGGCCTTTCCCTTAATCCTTGCCACCACTTGACTGGTTTGATCTCCTCCTCATATATATTAAGGTGTCTTTGCCATCGACTTTGCACTATCCCTGAGATGTTGACTTTGGGTCGCATTAGTCGGTAAGTTGTCTTAACCGATAGTGATTGCAGTCTCATAGGTTTGCATCTCCTATTTGAACGCCATAACCATTATACCGGATCTAGGGGGAAGGTCCGGGATAGGACAATGAGGAAAGTATGCTACCCATTCCTTGGTCATTGAGATATACAGTACCCTTACTCTATGCATTTTTTTAAAAGAGACAAAAGTCACCATATCCTGATTTCTTTTTGAGATCCTATTGTCCTTGTGAATTTTGAAAAGGTTGACCACGGCACCATTCTCATTTACATCTAATATTTGCCCTATTGTCTTTGAGTTGTTTTGTTGATAAACACCCACCCAATCTGCCACCCGAAAGACAGCCCCCTTTTTTCTCAGAACAAACAGGATCCTAACGTGAATCCAAGGAACAGGAAGACAAAGAAAAAACACTTGCATACTACCTCCGTTGCAATCTTCCCCAGTTCGTCAAAACACAAATCCAGTGATCCCAGCACCCGGCATGTTTGCGAGAGAAGTTGACGAGTACATTGTCAAAATAGTTGTCAGGATATCCCCTAAACCATAGCTCATGCTTCAAGGTCAGGGGGAAACCAACTTCAGTATCAGGAATCGAGGTGAAAGTTCGTGCCCGATGTAGAAAGGAGATGATAACTTCCAATTTCTGTTGCCGACTGGAGTAGGAGCAGTAGTCCTGAATGGAGTGAAACACCAACCCTTTGTCACAAATGACACGCTGATTCTTGTGCGTAGCAAAACACGCAACCAACTCAGGATTCATAAACACATGAACAATACAACCAAGATAGTCCCAGCTACTACCATCATTAGTTTGTTTCAGAATCAAATTGTCATCATAGCACTTTGCAAAGCGAGAGACAATGTTGCGAGTATGACTCACAGCGGCCGAGTTGGCATGAGATAAGGCAGAGCAAGAGACAATAGAGAGTGATAAAGAAGATGCTACCGCAAAAGGGTCATCAGAAGAAGAGGAGCTGGAGGAAGAAAAAGACGAAAACAAACTAGATGTAGGAATTCTAACAAAAATGGAGACGTCATCAACAATGCGAAAACCGGTGATCAATCTGCGATCAACACCGAGAGAAGAAAGAAAACAAAACTCGTTGAAAGCGCACAATAAACAGGCAAGGGCAGAGCTAGTAGTTTTACTCACAGGAATACCAACAATTTGTTTGAAGAGCACACCAGCCGCCATGATGTAAGTGTGATCAAGTTCGTAGGCAACAAATCGAGCAATCGCCTGGAGATCAATAAGAATCCAACCTGCTTCCCCACGACATATGGTTAACTTAGCCAACTTACCATGCGATCGGACCATAACTCCGTTGTATCCTTCACCATTCCAGTAGTCAGTCACCCACTCCACTGCTTTCAAAATAGATAAGTGAGGTAGGTTAGAAAACATTTCATTGATATCAAAGGAGACGCCCAATATCTGTTCATTATTCCGAAGGCTTCGGTTGAGAGCAGAAATACCAGAAATAAAATCGTTCGTGCGCTGAAGGTTGAAGTGAAACTGTTTGGGCAATTGCCAAAGAAGAGCATTGATAGCAAACGCCATCCTCCGGCTACAGAGCACGCCTCCTTCCACATAGGTAGGGCAAATAGGTCTCCAACGACTCATATCCTTGTGTTTAGGAATGCAGTACGCATTGCCGAAACTACCTGATTTGTCCCATCTGCCGAACTTGCCAAACCCACCGTCAAAAAAACCCGAGCGACAATGATCCACAGCAAGACTGACATCATCCTTGATAGGGCAGAAGGAAGGGTTATTGATGAACATTTTATCCATACCCTCAAAGTACACATGAGGACAACATACGTAGGTATCCCCGGGATTGTGGTCAATAGAACATCTGAGCAAACCCTCCATCCGCTTGTGAACCAAACAAAAGGAAACAATGTCGCATGAGAAAGAGGAGGCAGTAGGAGAGAGATCAAAGGGAGAAGAAGGAGGGGGAAGGAGATAAGAGGCAGAGAGGGTAGCAGAAGAAGGAAGGCAAAGATAGGTATTCAAGTGCTTATTACCAAGGAGCGGGTGTTGAGCAGAGAAGTTTAGTTGGGGAATGGATTGGAAGGATTGACAAATTTGTCACTGAAGGTTACTCAGCGAATGAGAAGAAGAAGGTTTGATAATATTGCGAGAGTTCGTCATCCAATCAGGAAAGAGATCAACCTCACTGATGCGAAAGGCCACATGCCCACCAACCCTAGGCAGCGCAGGATCAACACCGGTACAGGTACAACTTTTCATATGAGCAGAACGCGGGAAACTTCGAAAGTTATGTAATAGAAAGCCGATACTGCGTTTTTTTAACCAGACTATCCTCAATCGCCGGATAAGCAACGGTTTTCATACCTCGACAATTTCAAGGTCTTTGATAATGTTGACACATGTCGTGCGAATCCCATGTTTACAGTATGATCATAAAAAACAATACGAACAATCAGCCTCTTGCGAATACGTAGATCGAAGCGAGAGGAAATAACTTTAGATAGAATAAGTCGCAACCGAAAACGAGATCGTTTCTCCTGAAAGCACCTAATACCATTGAAAGATAGGACCAACCGATCCAGATCCCAGGTAGTCAACTGTCGTCGCGAGGAGAGTTTACTCAAGAAGTCAACAAGAGGAGGCTTAAGGGACAAAGCACGACAGGAGAAGGGAACAACCGAGAGAAAGAAAATAGTGACGCCATCTACCAACCATCCTTTAGAACTACGAAGCAAGCCAACACCATGTTCGCAAGAAACGATAGAACCGCCAAAACAATGCTTCAGTACCTTCCAGTTATCAGCAAAAGTAGACCGGCCTCGGCAAACAACCACCACACGATCAGTCCGTAGCTCACATGTAGTATTTAAAATCCGAAGCAGACTGGCAGAGACAATATCGATAGAGGAGTGAAAAGTAAATGAAGTGGACAGCGAAGAGCGAGAAATGAGATTAGATGGTAATACAACATCAGTTCGTCTACCAGCCCGCTTCCTGCGTTCTCTTTTACCAGGACGTCGCCAACGTGATCTTCGACTTTTACAACGAGAGTTTAGCACAACGCCTGAGCGTCGAATGATCAATGACTCGATTAACAAAAGATCTTCCGACACACAAAAGTGAATAGGAATGACCACATAGTTCTCGACTCCACATCTCCTCAACCAACCATACAGTCGCTTATTACGTGAACTCTGGTTAATTACATTAATTTAACATTACTTGCACAAAACAGATGTTCATTCCATCTTGTAAACAGATCTCTACCTGTGCTCCCTACATACACGTGTCGACACCATGGTGAAATCAGGAGGTAGATCAATGGTCCAGTAGGAACTTCCCTCTTGTTACGGTCATCCTCCCAATAACATGCATAAGTGATTAGATTCCTAAATTTAGCAGCCCAAGGAATACAGTTAGAGAGAATGAGCAAAGTGACCACTACCTGTAGAAAGCGATTGAGTGCCCGACAGCAGAGTAGAGAAGGAGTAGTAATTCGTAGTCGCATAGATTGGTGAAAAACAACCCATAATCGAGTCGCATCCGGGAGAGACCCTAAGAAACATCAGAGTCTCCCCTGGCATCTTCAGCAACATCGACACTTAGATCGTCAGTAGCATTCACGGAATCAACATGCAACGGAGGAAACACATCTAATACTCGCTTGGCCACAATATCATCAATGGTCTGCCGAATGGTGGTGTACACTATGCCTTCCTTGGCACAACTAGCTGCAAGTTTGTCCTTAGTTTGAGGTAATGCCTTCCTTGTTTCTTTGATGAAGGTTTTACGATCATTCAGCTGAACTGCAGGGTCCTGCAACGTCTTCTTCTTGCCCTTTTCCGAACCAGCAACAACCTCATCAAGTCGTGCTCTCAGATTGGACCGAGGGGTGCTACTGGCTTTATCAGCTTCCAGTTGCACAATCCTGAGGCGAGTTTTTTCAAGTTTCTCGTTCGGCCTCTCTGGGCCATTGAGCTCAATCAGACGCATTTCCTTGATCTTTTCAACTTCCATGTTATGGAACTGCTTCAACTCTTTGTAATCAACGCGTACCGAGGCTACTTTGGCAGGAGTACGACAAGGCTCCACAGTGGCATGCACACTAGGCGTGGATAAGTTAACACACCCTCTCTTCGATCCAGGTCGGGTGGCCTCCTGACGCCAAACCTCAGCATCAACAATTGCATCATCACGAGCTTGTCGAATAACCTCCAACTCACGTTCTAGTTTCTCAAGCCGACTCTTGGCAGCCAGCGAATCTTCAATCTGAGTCTTCATTCGTTCTTGCTCCGCCATAAGTTTAGCAAAAACATCATCAGAAGCTTGGCCACGATTCATCGTAGATATCGAAGGAGTGGTGATTCTCACCGGATCGCTCTTGTGCAACGCCTCGACTTCCTCCAACCGCTTGCTAGAAAGCGCCAGGCACACCGAATCTAGTCGACAGTTCAGTGAGTCTACCAAGGCTTTGTTCGTTTCTTCACGTTCTTTCTTTTCAAGAGCCCTTCGCTCTTCCTCCTCCTTCATCTTTACTGCCTTCTCTTCTTCAGCCAGTCTGTTCTTCTCCCGTTCAACATCAGTGTCATGCCGAATCTTAATAAGCGCAACAGTATTCTCCAGATATTCAAGCCGCTGCTGCGCTTGATACCATCCACTTCCTTTCTGATAGGATCCGCCGCCTTGATGGGTACTTGCAGAATTAGAAACAACAGAGGTAGAAGGGGCACTGGCAAGGGTAGTGACCAAGGGTGTTTCAACCGAAACAATAACATGGTTAGGTTGAGAAACACGAGGGTGAGGGCACCATCGAACAAAGTGACCAGGATCACTGCAATTATAGCAAGTGCGAACAATAGTGGAAGATGTAGGAACGTTAGGCGCCATCATGGAGACTGTCGTAAAAACTGAGAGATAGAGCCAACCACAAAAGTTGCCCACGTTGGGTATCAACATAAAATATCGAAGCCACATTAACACGTAGTATAATTCCTACGGAGGTTACTTCGTGAGTCGAAGTAGATGAGTTGCCATACAACTTCGTAATCCAAGCAGTCGGCAAGAAGCGTCAGCAATTCATCCATCATACACATAGATAGTCAAGAAGGAAGTAGTAGGATGAGACGAGAAAGACCAGAGCACGCAGGAGTCGAGAGGATGGAAGTACAATACGCAATACACGAATCCCGAACGCGACTATTGAAAAATATAACAATCTAGCACCGTGGTAGTGACCCGACTAGTTTCGACTGGCCCGCTAACCAGTCACCATCAGGGGTCTAGTAGTTGTCGTCGTCGCAAGTGTAACGATGAACTGACGACGTGCGTACTAATACTAGTCAGAATGAGTCAAGACCAAGTAGGAACGTCATCTAGAAACCACCGTCGTTTCGTAGATAGTTCGCATGCCAACAAAAACACAGGCTCAAGTAAGAGTCTAACATAGTAGGTGAAACTGACCCACAATCGTACCAGATTCAGCAGGCAAAAAAGAACACGTCAGAACGCCGCCCAAAAATCTAAAAATATTGATCGAAAGGTTCCGAGTTTGAGACTTAATCTCCGCGCCACTACATGTCTCCTAACGTAAGAAAAGAGAAGTGCACAGTTTGAGTCCTAGCGAAGGATTAACGTACCTGAGCCAAGAGGTAACGAAAGACAACATAGGCCCCCTAAGTCGTAAAAAGTGCGAGGTCCCGGGTTTTTTCTTTTATTTTCTTAGTAAGCCCTGCCAACGAGGCGGGCTGTCCGTTCTAGATTTCGTTACTTGGGCGTAGTAAACAGCAGAATGCTCCGATAATGTCTTTCTGGGAAGATGCAGTAGAAGAGAAAAAAAAACAAAAGTGAAACCACCCAGACACAAATGGGCCCCCCAGACCCATATCGCCCGCCCCAAGTTTGCAACGGAAAAGAACTCTATCCCTGAAAAGGGAAACAATGGACAGCGCCCTATACTAAATTGCAAGGACCTTGACAAGATAACCTGCCCTATGACCGGTCTTATGGACGACTGCGACCGGACCCTATTTTCCGCTGTCGGAGACCCCAAACGAACCCGTCATAGCGAAGTTGTACTGCACGACCTTACCGAAAATAGAAAGAAATGAAACGACGAAAATGGAACCCACGTAAGCGCAGCCTCCTGGCTGCGAACATACACACACAACTGTTGAGCAGACACATTGCCCATGGGCACAATCACCAGGCCATGCTGGAGAGGGTCATGGGGGTCTAGTACATGCTTCAGTGCAAGCCGGTAGGTTTGGATATTCCTACTGTTCTTCGGGTAGAACCTCTGACTACGGGGGCCAATCAAAAAATGTTTGAGCCTGGAGTCTGAAGTTGCCACATGTCAAGGCTCGTCTGATTCCGCTTCAACCAGGGCTAGGTAGGGATATAAGTCGCTCCAGCTCGTCCCGGATTCACCTAGCCTTGGGTAAAGCTAGGACAGTCCGGACTTGTCTGTGGGCGCTAGCCTGCCTATCATTGGTGCTTGTACTGTGATAAGCCAAGCTCCATACCTTGCGGCTTCACCTATCCTTCGGGATAAGCCCCGATGTAAGACCTGAAGTATGGATCATAACGAACTATGGATGGAAAGGGTCCGTCTCAATTGTTTTGGCGGTCGTTTGCATGCATCTTTGAGGTTTGCCCTTGTCTTTTTTTTTTTTTTAGCCTCACACGGTCGATTAGCGACCGCGCCGGAACTTCACAAAAACGGTTATGAATTCGGTTAACGCCGTTTCTATTTTTTGTGCTTAGCGTGTACGCGTACGACCATGTTCGAATTCTTGCTTGACCACTAAAGTTGGCTTCCCGCTTTGTGCGTGCACGCAAACTTTTCTTGCTGTCCTTCGTCTACGTGCATCTCTTCGTCTTCTTCTGACTCCTCGTTGTATCCTCCCCCTGTGTCCTTCGGTGCTATTGATTGGTAGCCAGTTGATCAAGCTAAGTGGTGGTGGAGACGGGAGTGCGGTCAGTGGCAGAGCCTTGTCGCTACGCGGGCTCACGCTCGGCTGGATATGGTGGCTGCGTATGTGCGGTGTCAGCATTGTTGATATCATTGTTAAATAGTGAGGGACTCACTTCTTCTCTATCATTGTCAACCTCTATTTGGCAATCCGTACATTATCATGGAGGATGGTCGACCATGACCATGGCAGGGGGTGAGCTGAGCCTTCAAAAGGAAGTGGCATAACAAAGGGATCTTTCGAGTTGGCCACCTGTGGAATAAGCAGAGGAGAGCATGGGAGGACGATGATGTGCTCTTGCCAGTCTCCTGCACCATCATGTAGCCCGAGCCCAAACGTTGCACGCAATCAGGGAGCAATTCCCTGGGGCTGGATAACACATTTAAGGGAAGATGTATGGGTTAAGGGAGAATGGGTTGTTAGGCGAGGACTTCTGAAGCCTGTAATGCCAGTAATGGTATATCAGAGATCAAGGAAGGGGATAGGCAGAGAGGATATGAGGGGTAGCCATGGCGGATGGTGTCGGGGTGGCAACCCTCGGGGAACTGTTGCACTGTGGATGCAGCAGGTGCCAGAAGGACTGCAGCACCTCCACCATAAGGACACATATTTAGTGGCAGTACTGGAGGATAAAGGCAGGAGGCTGTCGATGCCGCTGAGACCATTCTGCATAGCAACCCCAGTCTAGGACCTCGACATCAACCCGAGGAATTGGATACTCCCTCCACCAGGGAGCCTCATCTGGGGCCATGCTCTACATCAGGTAACCACCAAAGTACTCTACCATGCCTTGTGACGCCCTAACCTCACGCCCAGCGTGACTTCCTGATCGGAGTAGGATGTGGGCCTGGAAGTGCGAAAAGGGGTGTGCCAAGGGTTTTTGGAAAGTGGGGGTGAAGTCCCAGGTCAGAACTGAGATATCCTGTGGCAGAGTTTTTCGGGGACACGGGTGCAATTTGGCAGACAGGGCGGACCACTTCTGGTCATAAGGCAGATGGCATGCGCGGGTCACTCAAGGCCGTGCGATCCATCGGTTCTGGGGACGGCGGTTCGTGGGAAGGTCCCTCCGGGGTGGGTGGGGTTCTGATGAGTCAGGCCGTCGAAAGTTGCCACGTGGCACCGGCCGTTGCACGTTCAGGTTAGGCGTTCAGGTTTCCGGGGCCCTATATCGCCGCGTCGTCGGCAATTTCCGCAGGGCGTGCTGGGCCAGTATGGGGCTATGGCCTTCCACGGGACGACGCTGAGTCGATGATACGGAAGAAGAAGGCGGAAAGGAGGGAAGCTAGTGGAAATAACGACAAGTCCGGGGTGGGTGAAGTAGTGGGTGTGGTCCTGAGTTGGGAAATCGGAGCACCGGGGTCGCTGGTTGTAGCACAGTGAAACTCCCTAGGACACGGTCGATTCTCCATTAGGCAGGGGAATCTCTGTTGGAGGAACTCCTCAGTCCAAGGGGTGAAATACTCCGGGTCGTATAACGATTCAGAGCTCTCGGAGAGTGTCATCATGTCATTGCGGAGTGGTGAGATTCCTAAGGGTGTGTCTTCACCGATTGCTATCACCTCCTGCGAGCACGTGCAGGCCGCATGAATCGAGTCGCGCTTACGCGAGTACGCTTGGGATGATTGCTCCGTCGCAGACTCCAGATGGTCGTATTCAATCAAGCATTGTCCCTGCAATCAATGATTCTTTCTGGAATTGACGAATCGGCGCACGGGGCCACGTGTAAATGCGCAGATCGGGTCGTGTTTACACGCGTCCTTGCGCGGTGTTCGCTGGGCAACAGACATTCGATCGTCTAATCACTCCGTAATTTTCGACAGCTAAGATGCAACAACTACAACAACTCAATCAAGAGATAAGCAAAAACCGAAACAACATTGATGACTATGCAAAATTCCCACCCTTCATACGAGTACATCAAGATGAGAAACAAAGGAAAGGATCGGGTGTAAAAATCAACAACAGACATGACATCCATTCATCCATTCATTCAGCAACACATACACACGACATATTTGAGAGGGAAATCGCAAAGACAAGTGTGAGCAAGAACCCAAGTCCAGATTCGAAAAAAAACAAGTCCAAATTCCGAAAAGTGAAAACGAGCAAATCGCCCTGCGCCGAAATCAAAATTTATATACACAAGCAAGGAGGGAGAAAAGGTAAAAAAAAACAACAAATCCACGTCCATCAACCTCAGCTTCCTCTTTCTCTCTCTCTCTCTTTGATGCGGAAAGTCCGTCGTCGCGCACCAACCCACGAAGCCGTCACCCCGCTTAGTCCTCCCGCAACCGTCAGGTTCGCCCACGCCCACAGTCCATCGTGGCCCGCGTCAACCCCGCGCGTTTGGCACCAGCTCGTCGGGTCGCCCGACTCCTGCTCTACTCACCTCTTAGTACTTCGCTCGTGTGCCGTCCCTCTCTGATCGCACAACCCCGAGCTTCCAACAACTGGTGAAGAGAGCTAACTAATCGCGCAACCGAAATTTATAGCGTGCATGCATGCGCAAAGAACACGGAATTACAAGGACTTAAAAGGAGAGAAGGGGGAGGGATTGCCTACGTCTGCATGGCTCGATCGCGGCGTGTGGACGTAGCCGCTCTCTACGCATCGATCCGATCATGCAGACCGCGGCTACCAAAAACGCAGCAAAAGAAAGAGAATAAGGGCGGGAAAGGCGAAGCACAAGAAGAAAGATACAGTTACAATGGTGCCCACCCAAAATTACAGGTACACACATGATTAAAGGCGCCAACTAATCAGAGTTTCGTTGCAGTCGCACAAAAAAGCACGTCAGCAAAAAGCACCGCACGGCAAAATAAAATCCTAATTACAAAATTCCTAAATTCCTATCTAATGCGAAAAAGCGAAAAATACAAGTTCTGAAAGAAAAGTCCGAAATTTCGAGAGCTGCATAGGCTCGACAAAATCTGAAAGGAAATTCAAAAAAGAAAATTCAAAAAGAACGAAGCAAAATTATCGCACGATGTCCGCGCCTAAAAAGTCTGAAACCGAAACAAAAGAAACGACGTCAACATTTATTAATCATGCGCATGTCCGCGTGCCAGCCATTCAACCGACCAATCAATCGATCAATCGTCTCGGGACTCACCTGGCCCTGAACCCAACCATCCGAAAAGAGGTGACGAAAAAGACAAAGAAGCGAGGGTACTAATGCAATTTCCCACCGATCCCGATCTCCCGTAATTGGCCCATTCTTCCCAGCTTAGGACCCCTCATCGCTATCGCGAGGGAAATCGCGCGGTGCGGAAATCGGTTCGTCACATATGTGACGCCCAGGGGGTTCCAATATTAGCAAGCTCCTGCTTGCTTGTTAACACGTGTCGATTTCTCTAATCGATCAACACGTGGGGCTTTTCGTTTTGTGCCACTTACCATTTGAATGAGTGTGGCCATCGTCCAGCGTGGCAAACACAGCTCTACCACGAATTCCTCAGGAAGGGCCATTGACAATCCAAGGAGGGGATCACATGTGTCATCGTCATGACACGCATCCATCAATCATACATCAGCGAGCGCCAGGGAGGGGAAAGGGGAGACGGTACAGGGAGGCATGGCGAGGGGGAGGGTTGATGGATAGCGGGGGAAGGAAGCTCTCCATTCCGGCCACCGTCTCCGGAAGTTCCTGATAATGAACGATCCAGTGGAAGCGGGGGAATCGGTTGCCAGTGTGCGGGAAGGATGCGAGGTAAGCAGGGTAGAGGGTGGTAAAGGTTCGGAAGAGCGTCACGTGGAGGTGATCGTGGTTCTCGCATGCGGGAATAGTCCCCGACTCCCCGTAATCATGCAATATACCTCGATCATATTGTGGCCCCGCCACGCAGCACTAAGGAGAAGGATATGGAGGCAGAAAACAGGGAGGGCGCATCGGGTGGAAGGGTGGGGATGAACAGTGACAGCAAGGCGGGTAGCGTAGAAGAAGCGGAAGGTATCGATGGGGAAGGGATTGTTGGGGAAGGTAACGCAAGTGGTAATCTGGCAAAAAGAGAGGTGGTCAAGGGGACGGCGGGATAATGACCGGGGACGAAGCCCGATGCCCTGCATCGGTACGTGGACGAATTGGGGGATGGGATGAGGTGGAGGGGGAGGGGGATTGGCTTCGTCGCCGCCTTGCCGGTGCGGCCGAAGTCTCCGCAGCTGGGTCCCCATGTTCAGGCTTGGGCGGCTCCGGATCTCGCCCTGGATCGTCGATGGTCGGCGGACCCACTGCGCTGGCAAACTCCAGTTGTCGCTTTCCGGCCGCGATCTCCTCCCTCTTCTGCGTTTGGGCCTGCGCTCGAGCCTCCTCGCGCACTCCCTCCTCAAATCCTTCCCATTCTGACTCTTCTAGCTCCTCCTGATCCTCTTCTTCCTCCTCCTCCCCCGGGCTTTGTTCCCCTTCGCTATGCTCACCGTAACTCCCTTCTTCTGGAGTCTCTTCCTCTGCGTCCTCTTCTTCAGCCTCTTCTTCTTCTTCCGAGCTTTCCTCTTCTTCTTCAATCTCTACCTCCTCGTTCTCAGAAGCCGTCCGATCTTGAAAGAAGGCGAGATCGACCATTTCGTGCGGGTCTAGATAACCGCTCCGTGACGGTGGGTTGCGGCCGCTTCCTGGCTCCTCCAAGCACGCCGACCACTGAAGATATGGTGTCAACGTCCGTGGGAGGACGTGCGGGACTGGGTTGTCGTCGCTCTGCGAGACGATCTCAAGCGGGAGATCGTCGTCCAGCTGCGCAAGGGGGACCGTTAGCTCTTGCACGATCAGTTGGCGATGGTCGGGCCGCACCGATCCGAAGAGGAATCCGAGTAGATCTCCCTCCACTCCCGTTCTCCACGCCTGGATGATCAGCAGCTCAAGGTACTCAGCCTACTGGCGATGATCCCCGTGTCGCGTCCACGTGACCTTTACACCGACTAGACACACTGATAGATCGGCGACATACTTTCGCCAACGCCTCCACTAATGGGGATCAAGAAGGGGGACAGTGGGTGATTCCAGACAAAAGGAGAGATACAAATGAACTCCGGATTGCCACAAGGCGTTAACGGGGCAACCGGTTTTCGGGGCTGAAATTTCTGAAATTAGGGTTTTAGGGTCAAATTTCATGTTTTTTTTAATTTTCAAATTTTTGCTATATATGCATTTTGATAGGGTTGTTGTGTGTCAAATTTGGGATTGCTTGGTGTTTTAGAATTTGCGCTGTTCAAATAGCTGAAAATGCTGAAATTTGTCAAGTTTTTTTTTGGCCAAATTTCATGGAAATGCACTTTTGGCTTGCTGTTTTATATGTTTTTATTTGCTGTTTTTATGTTTTTTTTCTGTGATGATGTAGTAAGAAGTGCACTTTATACATTGGTGTGAAGTATTGTTCAAATGGGTCTCTGGTTTTCTTATAAATGGAGCTGAAAAATGAGTGCTCGGTTAACCTGCTCCAGAAGGTGGGAAAGAAGGAAGGGAGGTCGAAGGTAGAGATTGGGGACGGGTTCATTGAGGATGTTGGGAGGGGATGAGTTCAGGGAGCACCACCGCCGGCTCGTGCTGAAAAGCTCGGATCTCGTCGAGGTCGACGCCGTCCGTGGGAAAAAGATTATCCCCGTGGGGCGTGAGCCAACGATTCCACTCTCATGCCAATTGCTGTGCCCACAGCCGAAGTGTCGTCTTGATAGTCGTATGCCGCTGCGGGCTGATGGTGCTGATGTCGCCGCTGAAGGCGGCATCCGTAGACACGTGGCTGATTCCGGGGGCTGATCGTCGATGAACCGCTACCGCCTCCGCCAAAACAACCGCTCGGGGACTGCCTGCAAATTGAAACTCAGTTGCTGCGTACACTCCCCTAGTGCAGAAAAAGTGCGCGAGTCGCCGAAGATCCGGGCTGAGTCGCGGACGATGAACTTGTCGGATAGCCGAGACGTAGCACCGTGGTACTAACAGAGGATCACCAAGAGCTCGTTGCGTAAGAAAACTCATTGCGATGGCGGCGGGGACGGAGTAACAGAAGGAGAACGAGAAGGAGACGGAGAGACAGGCAATAAGCAGTCGTCGTCCTCTTCCGCAGTGGAGGAGGAGTCAGATGAAGGCAAAGATGGGGAAGACGGGAGGGGACGTAGGTAGGACACATGGCGGATGATCGGACGAGCCGATCGGCTGCCGGAGACCTCAGGCGCAAGCCGCACGGTGTTCACACCGTTCGGTCCGAGCTCAATCACGTGGAATCGCCCGAAGAATCGTGGCGCTAGCTTACCCTGGCGAGCACATTTCCTCGCCTGCACGATGTCCCCTAATTTGTACCGGGGCCGTGGACCTGCGATCCCGTTACGGGCCTCGTAGCTTCGGACCTGTCGGTCCTGGGCCAACTCGGTCATTTTCTGGCGTTTTCGGGCTAGCCTGGGGAGGGACCGTTCCATCAACTCTAAGTGCCGCTTGGCCTTGTCCCGAGCCATGGCCCTTGTGGGCCGGCGGTTGAGCGTTGATTTGTCAGGGAGGCTTGGTATCGAAACGCAAGCGACGCTATTGGTCCTTAATTGGAAGGGGCTCAGGCCCGTCGATTCATGGGGCGTTCCGCGATGGACCGCCAGGATGTGGTCGACGATATCGGGCCAAGGCCTCGGATCCCGTGCCGCGATGTTTCATCGTAGTGCTGTCTTTATCACCCTATTCGTGTTTTCTACCAGCCCATTGGATTGTGACATGTGGGGTGCGGTATTCCACACAACGACACCGTGTATGACCAGGTTCCTTAATACTTCCCCTCTGAAGTTTGCCCCGTTATCGGTCAGGATTTCTTCTGTATCCTGGTGCATCCTGAGAAAACGGTTAACATACCGCGCGATTTCGGCAGCTTGCCGCGTGCGACATGGATAGGCCTCAATCCATTTCGAAAAATGGTCGACAAATACCAACAGGACTGAATATTCACAACTATTAGGACCAGGGGGTACCACGATATCGGTAGTATCCATACTCACCCTTTGAAATGGCCGCTCAACTACCGTTGGTACTATCGATCTTGGCGGCTGAATCGGCGCCTTGTCAGCAATGCAGACTTGACAGTTTGCGACGATGAATTTCACATTGTCTCGAATATTGGACCAATACCATTCGTTTTTATCCATTGCCGACTCCGTAATCCGCACGGCAAAATGGGCAGCCATTTCTTCGTGTGCTGTCTTCACCCAGTCATACCTCATGAACGGATGCGGTACAACCATCCAAATCCCACTGCCGTCCACTTTCCGTTTTTCTAACCTTCCCTCTACCCATCGATAATCCCGAGCCCTCTCATTAGCCCTCCTCCGATCTTCCTTGGTGAAATCCTGGAGGGGGTTACTCACTAAGGTGGCAATCAAAGCGATATCGGTTCACACTTCGGCCCTTCTAAACTTCCAGGTCTTCTCCAATCCTTCTGACGTGGCATCCAAAAAGCGAGCCTCGGTCGGGATCTTGTCAACTCGAAACAAGGGGCACAAGCCGCACAACCACAACTTACTATCATTTTTGTATTGGATGCACGAGCCGTGGGCTTGTGCGACACACTGTCGACAGTCTATCCATTCCGCATAGCCTTCCCCGTTAGGATGCCTAGAGACCGAATATACGCGAGAAATTGCTTTGCAAAAGTAGCAAAATTTATCAGGCAGGGAGAGAAGAGATGAAGAGGAGAGGGGAGAAAGAGGGGTAGTGGGGTTACCTCCGTCACCCATTGCCACCGGTCTGCTTCTTGCCACGTGGGAGAACTGCCACTTGTCCGTACTTAGGCCCGTTTGCCGGTTCCGACTCCTTCCACGAAGTGATTTCCTCGCCCTTAGGTACTTTAGCGGGCCAATGCAGACGTGTCAGTCCGTCCACGTTGTCCTGTCTTTCTGTCTTCCGATGGATGATGTCGAAGTCGTACTCCTGCAGACATATCGCCCAACGTCCAATCATTCCCGTGTAATTAGTGAGCTTCTTCAAGGTCAGCAGGGGTTCGTGATCCGTCACGAGGCGGAACTTCTGTCCGTAGAGATACAGATGGAAGTGCTGGATTCCCCAGACCACTGCATAGCATTCGCCTTGAGGTGCTGAATCATTCCTTCGTTCGTCCGGCACTGTTCGTGATGCGTACTCGATGACATGTTCGCGACCATCGTTCCCCTTCTATGCCAAAATGGCGGAGATCGCTTCCGGTTGCCAGTCCGTTATAAGAATAAATTGTTTGGCAGGGTCTGGTCGGATCAAAACAGTTGCAGTGACCAGGGTCTCTTTGAGTGCATCAAAGGCTTGTCCACACTCAGAGTCCCACTGTAGTGGCTGGTCCTTCCGAACCAGGTTCGTGAGAGGCCGAGCAATCACCGCAAACCCTTTGATAAAACGGTGGTAGTACGACGCCAGGCCTAAGAAGGCTCGAACCTGCGTCAACGACGTGGGAACTGGGGCTTCCTTTACGGCCGCGACTTTCCTGGAATCCGGTTGCAGCCCTCCACGTGTCACCACGTACCCCAAGAACGAAATTTCCGAAAGGAAAAATTCGCTTTTCTCGAGCGCGATCTTGAATCCAACGTCTCTCAGCGCTCCCAATGTCCACTCGATGTGTTGCGCATGTCCGTGGTAGGTTTCCGAGTAGACAAGGATATCATCCATGTAGACAATGACGCAGAAGTTGATCATTCCTTGAGTCAGCCGAGTCTTGTTGACAAAATTCTGGAACGTCACGTTCATCGCTCGTTGAAACGTGGCAGGCGCATTACAAATTCCCATCGGACATCGAACCTACTGCCACGTGCCTTCAAACAGTACGAAGGCCGTCTTCGGCCGATCTTCCTCCTTGACCAGAATGTGATGGAAGCCATGCCGAATATCAAACTTACTAAAATAATTAGCACATTCAATCGCATCCAGCAAATCATCAATCCGGGGGAGGGGATACACATCTTTAATCGTGATTTCATCCAGTTTGCGATAATCGATGCATATGCGGATTGATCCGTTCTTCTTTGGTACTAACACTACTGGAAATGACCATGGTCCAGTGGCGGGTTCGATCCAACCGCTTGCTTCGAATTCCCGAATTCGCTCGAGAGCCTTTTTCCGTTCTATCAGGGAATATCAGTAGGGCTTGCAGTGGATTGGGGAATAGTTTCCCGTCTGAATTTCGTGTTCAATGACCAACGACAAGCCGATGTCAGTGTCCGTTACGCTAATCGCTCCCTGATATTCTGTCAGAATGTCCGCAATCAAACGATGAATCTCATCAGGTACGTAATGTGGAACGTGTAATTCAAAAAGTTGATCCCATATTCGTACGTTTATCCGCTTCGTGCGTGCCTGTTTCGCCAGATCTGGTAGTGGCGCAAAGATAAACGAATGGTCCGATCTCCAGGAGAACACTGTGGCCATCATCTGGGCGTCTTCCTCCCGAATGGCCACGTGTCCTTCCGGGGTGATCCCATCGCAGATATCTTGCCATGATACGGTTTTAGTTGCGATCTTTACTCCGAGCTCATCTGATCCAGCTTCGAGACGCCCAGGGGGTTCCGAAGAACTGGCTTCCGCCCCCAGGCGTAGCAGTCGTACTTCCTTTGCGGGTGTCAATAGGGACCTCGGTAGATCTGTGATATCACAGTAGTGGTTGTAGTGCTTTTTGTCGTTGTATCGGGCGAGGAGAGGGGAGATTCCTTCGTACACGGTTTGAGGGGGTTCCAAAGAATCGGCCATCCTCAAAATCTGTACGAGGGGTTCACCCAAAATCATCGCCTTGGTCCTTTGGATATTCCGACTGGTTAGATGCATCGTTCTTGCAGTCGTTCTGGGCGGTGGGTAATAAAGGCGCTGCCATGCTAACTTCAAAATTTCCGGATCATTTTCGTCACTGCTATCCGCATCCTTCGATGATGGCTCATCGTCTGCGGAGTTTTCCCAGGTGATCATGCAAAGAGTTCCCGCTATCATCGAAGAAACTCGCAGGACTGCGATGATGGTAGTACGAAGGGTCAGCCTCATAGGTACAACATAGGGTTTTCCTCCCGTATTTCGGAGAATGATTGACCGTCGCTCGAAATCCAAGTTTGCTCGTAACGCCACAAGAGCGGGAAGGCCGAAAAGAACGTCGTAGGTATTTACGTCTAATACCACGATGTCTCCTAATGCATGCACCTTTCCTAATCGAAAAGCGGCATTGGTCATTCTTCCCACCGTTTTAATCTTTTCTTCGTCTGTCGAAACGAGCTGATCCTTCTCTGTAAGCATGATCAGATCGTTTTTCCTACCTGCCCTCTCAACTACTCGCAATAAGATAGCCAAAACAGCAACTCCTAAATCAACGATGGCATTGTACGGAACTCCCCATATTTCAATGTCGCATTCCGCAGATTTCCACGGAATGGGTTTAATCTGTAGGAAATTAACGTCTTTCTGTATTAACCCTACCCGTGTTGGATCCGAAGTATTAGCCGTATTTTCGTCTGGCTTGGGGCTTTTAACTTTCACGTTCATTGTTCGGGCGAGGGTGAATCGTTTTCGGTTCACCTTACAACGTTGTAGCATTCGCTCATTAGCTTGTTCAGAGATCAAGAGCAGATGGCCAATCAGAAGTGGAATCCGATGGTCTAAGGCTTGGATGATGTTGAGCACATCGATTTCCCTAGTGACGAAGGTTGGTCCTCCCGACTCCATCTCTCCTGGAGAAGGTCACCAGTCCGCCACTTCTTTCTGTTCCGGCGCCGGTCTGATCATTCCAATCATTCCAAGCCCAGGATAACCAAGCGATACATACTGATATAACGGGATGAACTCAACAGCCTCTTCTGTGGTTGCTAACGTACTCCCCCCGCCTTCCATCTCCTCCATCAGGGCTCCTACCCGTCCCAGTCCATTAGCGATGGGGGCTGCCGTCATTGGTGCGACTCCAACCCGTTGTTGCGGGGGGCCGGTGGGGGCAATCACGGGCCAGATGCCTCGGTTGATGGCATGCATAACAAACGTTCAGTTTGTTCGCGACTCCTCCGAGAGCAGGTGCCGGGGCTAGCCCTTGTTGGATTGGAGGGGCACGTACCGCGATGGGCCGCATGTTCCTCATCATAGCCTCTAGCCGAGCGTTATGCTCTCGCTGTTCCTTTTTGTTCTCCTGAATTAGGCTAATCAACGTTTTTGTCAGCTCAAAAATAGCAGTAGACTCATTTGTCCTTACCGGGTTCTCCATCAGTGGCGGGGCTGCCGTCACTATAGGTGTCGGCATCACAGGAACAGGGACACTCGTGATTACACTCGGGGTGGGTCATTTAGGGGTTATCTGTTCCAGATAGGTGACCGGGCCAGACACAAATCCCATATTCTCGAACTTGTTCTGCAACGCGGTCAACTCAACTCTTGCCCTTGCGAGTTCGGACGAATCCCCTTCCTTAGGATAGTCTTCTCCTTCCAGGAAGTTCGCCGTGAACTTTCGTTTCATCTCCTCTGCAGCTGCCATGATCTGTTGCAGCGTATGATTGATGGGGGAGAACTGCTTTCGCAGCTTCGCCCTTATCGTTCGGCTGCGAAGCCCATCAATAAACAAATCTCTCCCGACTTGCTCGCCTCACTCAGTTTTCACAAACATTCGGTAGAACCGGTTTCGATACTCTGCGATAGACTCGAGAGGTTTTTGCACCCGGTCTTTGATCATGTAAAGTGCTTGCTCTGGTTGGATATAATCATATCGATTCAGAAATTTCGTTCAAAGGTCGGAAGATCTACCTATACATAGGTATTAAACCAGTGATGAGTGTCTCCTCCTAGTCGAGCGGGAATGTTTACCTGAGCTTCGTTATCGTCATACTGCTATGCCCGGAGCGTGGCCAACCATGCTCCTGCAAGATGATGTGCAGGGTCAAACAGATAAAGATCAGGCGCCATCATGGGAGCCCGTGCTCGTGGGGCGGGTTGATTAGGACTCGGTTGATTAGCATTCCGCTGCGGATTCTGATTAGCGTTCATGTTGGTTGCCCGTCGATTAGCCGATCTGCTTCGGGTGATGACGGGGTCGCGTCAATGCGCGTTCTGAGGTCGAGGTCGCCCTCGGTTAGCCAGATCACTCAATTATCGGGCTGTTAGTCCTAAAACCCGGCCACGTGTCGGGCTCCATTACCAACCTCACGCCCAGCGGGACTTCCTGATCGGAGTAGGATGTGGGCCTGGAAGTGCGAAAAGGGGTGTGCCAAGGATTTTTGGAAAGTGGGGGTGGAGTCCCAGGTCAAAACCGAGATCTCCTGTGGCAGAGTTTTTCGGGGGGACGGGTGGAATTTGGCAGACAGGGCGGACCACTTCTGGTCATAAGGCAGATGGCATGCGCGGGTCATTCAAGGCCGTGCGATCCATCAGTTCTGGGGACGACGGTTCTTGGGAAGGTCCCTCCGGGGTGGGTGGGGTTCTGATGAGTCAAGCCGTTGGAAGTTGCCACGTGGCGCCGGCTGTCGCACGTTCGGGTTAGGCCTTCAGGTTTTCGGGGCCCTCTGGTCGCCGCATCGTCGGCAATTTCTGCAGGGCGTGCTGGGCCAGTATGGGGCTATGGCCTTCCACGGGACGACGCTGAGTCGATGATATGGAAGAAGAAGGCGAAAAGGAGGGAAGCTAGTGGAAATAACGACAAATCGGGGGTGGGTGAAGTAGTGGGTGTGGTCCTGAGTGGGAAAATCGGAGCACCGGGGGTCCCTGGTTGTGGCGCACTGAAACTCCCTAGGACACAGTCGATTCTCCGTTAGGCAGGGGAATCTCTGTCGGAGGCACTCCTCAATCCAAGGGGTGAAATACTGCGGGTCGTATAACGATTCTGAGCTCTCGGAGCGCGTCATCATGTCATTGTGGAGTGGTGAGATTCCTAAGGGTGTGTCTTCACCGATTGCTATCACCTCGTGCGAGCACGTGCAGGCCGCACGAATTGAGTCGCGCTTACGCGAGTACGCACGGGATGATTGCTCCGTAGCAGACTCCGGATGGCCGTATCCAATCAAGTAGTGTCCCTGCAATCAATGATTCTTTCTGGAATTGACGAATCGACGCACAGGGGCACGTGTAAATGCGCAGATGTGTTTACACGCGTCCTCGCGCGGCGTTCTCGGGGCAACAGACATTCGATCGTCTAATCACTCCGTAATTTTCGACATGCAAGATGCAAAAACCACAACAGCTTAATCTAGAGATAAGCAAAAACGGAAACAACATTGATGACTATGCAAAATTCCTACCCTTCATACGAGTACATCAAGATGAGAAACAAAGGAAAGGATCGGGTGTAAGAATAAGCAACAGACATGACATCCATTCATCCATTCATTCAGCAACACATACACATGATATATCTGAGAGGGAAATCGCAAAGACAAGTGTGAGCAAAAACCCAAATCCAGATTCCAAAAAGCCAAGTCCAGATTCCGAAAAGCGAAAATGGGCAAATCGCCCTGAGCCGAAATCAAAATTTATATACACAAGCAGGGAGAGAGAAAAGGTAAAAGAAACAGCAAATCCGAGTCCATCAACCTAATCTTTCTCTTCCTCTCTCTCTCTCTCCGATGCGGACAGTCCGTCGTCGCGCACCAACCCAAGAAGTCGTCACCCCGCTTAGTCCTCCCGCACCCGTCAGGTTCGCCCGCGCCCACAGTCCGTCGTGGCCCACGTCAACCCCGCGCGTTTGGCACCAGCTCGTCGGGTCGCCCGACTCCTGCTCTACTCACCTCTTACTTCGCTCATGTGCCAACCCTCTCTGATCATGCAACCCCGAGCTTCCAACAGCTGGTTAAGAGAGTTAACTAATCGCACAACCGAAATTTATAGCGTGCATGCATGCGCGAAGAACACGGAGTTACAAGGACTTAAAAGGAGGGAAGGGGGAGGGATTGCCTACGTCTGCATGGCCCGATCGCGGCGTGGGGGACGTAGCCGCTCTCCACGCATCGATCCGATCATGCAGACCGCGGCTACCAAGAACGCAGCAAAAGAAAGAGAAGAAGGGCGGGAAAGGCGAAGCACAAGAAGAAAGATACAGTTACAATGGCGCCCGCCCAAAATTGTAGTTACACACACGATTAAAGATGCCGACTAATCAGAGTTTCGTTGCAGTCGCACAAAGAAGCGTGTAAGCAAAAAGCGCCGACGGCAAAAAAAAATCCTAATTACAAAATTCCTAAATTCCTATCTAATGCGAAAAAGCAAAAAGCACAAGTTCTGAAAGAAAAGTCCGAAATTCCGAGAGCCGCATAGGCTCGACAAAATCTGAAAGGAAATTCAAAAAAGAAAATTCAAAAAGAATGAAGCAAAATTCCCACGCGATGTCTGCGCCTAAAAAGTCCGAAACCGAAACAAAAGAAATGACGTCGCGCGCATATCCGCGCGCCAGCCATTCAACCGGCCAATCAATCGATCAATCGTCCCTGGACTCACCCAGCCCTGAACCCAACCATCCGAAAAGAGGCGACGAAGAAGACGAAGAAGCGAGGGTACTGATGCAATTTCCCACCGATCCCGATCTCCCGTAATTGGCCCAACCTTCCCAGCTTAGGACCCCTCATCGGTATCGCGCAGGAAATCGCACGCTGCGGAAATCGGTTCGTCACATAGCTTCCATAGTACGATGTGTGTGCAGAGTTAAAGGAAAAATGGGCCAAAAACCGGTCGGTTGTGACGCTCTAACCTCACGCCCCACACTGCTTTCCGGCCGGAGTGACTAAAAGTATGGAAAGGGGCCCCGGAAAGCAGCAAATGGGGGTGTGCCAAGGATTTTTGGAAAAATCGAGAGTGGAGTTCCAGGTCTGAACTAGAATCTCCCATGCGATTCCTGTTATGGAGTAACAAGCAATGGCGGGGAAACGACAAAAAGGTGCAAAAATCTCACAAGAACGACTATCTAATCCCAGAAGTACCTTTGAAATTTGTCGCGATCGGCGATGCCTTTTTTAGGGCCAAAAAAATAGTGCCCGTGTGTACTTAGGATCTCGACTATGACAAGTCTTAGAGCACGGTGACGCATCTCGCAGAGCTCGGAGTCGGAGTTGGAAGGGCACAATCTTGCTTCTCTCTCAGCTATTTCCTTCTCTCCACGTGGCACGTAATCGAACCCCAGCTCCTTTAGCCGTTTAGTGTGGTGGCAGTCTGAACACAAAGTGTAATGCCAGGGAGGCACAGCAGTTGGCCATGGAATAACAATCAACTCACTCAATGGAAGCAGAACAGAAAAAGGAGGAAAGATGGTATCAACAATCACAATCCCAAATTGACGAATCCGGAGCATTGTCTTTCAGATGGGAACTGATAGGGGCGTTCGATTTGGCCCACGACTTCAAGCACATCCACTCGCAGACACGTGTCGTGTTCTCGTTATACGGGAATGGACGTGAGCGGGGGCGGTCACGAAATCGGAGCGCAGATGATCCCACGGGATCAGTCCACATGGCCATCGGTCGTTAGTCGCACGTGCATCCACTGTTCACAAAACACTCAGATTACACCCATCGACTAGGGGAAATGCCCACGCGAAGGAAATCAGACAATATGACGCGCCTTTCATGCCTGATGTTTCTTTGCGAGGTGAGGATTACTCAAGAAGCTAATGGACGAGTTCAAGAAGAAGTTATTGAGGGAGCAATCATTCGCCTTCCAAAAGAAGACAAAGATAAAAGAGAGAGAGGGAGAGATCGACAAGTGCATTTTCAGAGGATCAGTGACCAGTGACGATCATACAACGGCCAGCGTGTAAGAGAGAGGAACAGAGCAGCTAACGCATCCAGTCATTCACTAACAATCTAAACTAAGTATTCCCTCAGGTGATCATTGATCGACAAAAAGATCTGAAAGAGGTGAACAAGCGAGAATGCGCTGCGCTGAAAAGAAGGAAAACTCATGCACACACCCCGTCGGTCCTACGCATCTATGGGCCACATCATCAGTCGGATTGCAGACTCACACTGACGTCAATGAGCGTTTGATGATTAACGACGGGAGGAGTGCCAGGGTCAGAGAAATAGCACTCATACTCAGTCATATGGAGATTACGATGCTTTCAAAACATATACGCCCAGCGTGGGGCTTCCTGAAAGCGAGAAAGCAAAGCTACAAAACACATATGCATTCATCATTCATGCCTAGGCTACACAACAGCGTCTTGCATACGATAACGAAAAATACTCACTAATTCATCAAAAGAGAACGGGGAGGGATTCCATCACAGGCTGATAGTAGGTCAAGGCCCTTTTTGAAGGGTTTTTTTTTTTTTTTTTTTAAGCGAAACGGCACCGTGGTACTTCCCAAGAATCGTGCCAGCATGCAGACTACGACTCTGACAAAATGGCTGGGAAATGTACTGGTGGTTTAATGATGTTTAGTTCTAAGCGGTCAAGTTATGAAAAAAGTGAGACTTGAGCACAGAAAAAATAAAGGGGCAAGTACGTTGACGTCATAACAGAGTTCCGAGTGAGCAAAACAAACACGCGCTGGCAAAGAAAACAGCTGCCGAGTAATATCGACAAAGCAATGAAAGTACCACGGCCTTGACAGAGGCACAGGTGTCATAACTACAGGGGTGCGCCATGGTGTCAGACGAGAAAAG